CCAGCTATCTGCTGATGGGTCAGGTGGACGAACACAGAGGCCCCATCCTCCCTCCAGAGAGCTTCGTGGTTCTCTACAAGCCCAACCAGGACCAGATCCTCACTAACCTAAGCAAGAGGAAGTGTCCCGCCCAACCTAGGCCAGCCGCCTGAGGTCCCAGCCAGACACAGCCTCGGAATGTGGTGCTCTCATCCAAATAAATATTTCTTAACTCAGGAAGGGGTCATATATCAGCTCTATGGTTGTGTGTGGGGGTGTGCATCTTGGATTTCAGAATACCTTTTCCTTTGGGTAATAGGAAAAGTACTAGAGGATGAACTCGGACTTACGCATGCTAGGCAATTGCTCTACCACTAGCTGTATCTTCAGCCTTCAGAACTCTTTTAAGAACACACGGTAGGGGCCTGGCAGTGGTGGCCCAGCCTTTAATCCCAGCATTTGGGAGGTAGAGGCAGGCAGATCTCTGAGTTCAAGGCTAGCCTGGTCTACAGAGCGAGTTTCAGGACATCCAGGGCTACACAGAGAAACTCTGTCTCAAAAAACCAGAAAAACAAATAAACAAACAAATGGACACACAAGTAGGGGCAGGCAAGCTGGCTCAGTGGGACAAGGTGCCTGCTACCTAAAGACCTCCATTCAATCCCTGGGATCCACACGGTGAAAGAGAATTGACTCCTGCAAGTTGTCCTCTGATCAACAGATGCACTGTGGCACACATACAAATACACACCAAAAAAAAAAAAAAAAAAAAAAAAAAAGCCGGGCGTGGTGGCGCACGCCTTTAATCCCAGCACTCGGGAGGCAGAGCCAGGCGGATCTCTGTGAGTTCGAGGCCAGCCTGGGCTACCAAGTGAGCTCCAGGAAAGGCGCAAAGCTACACAGAGAAACCCTGTCTCGAAAAAACCAAAAAAAAAAAAAAAAAAAAAAAAAAAAAAAACCAAAGGAAATCAGGTGGGAATCTGGAGAAACGGCTTAGTAAAGCGTTCACCGTGCAAGTACGTGGCTCCCAGCACCCACAAAAGTAACCGGGCACAACAGTATGTACCTGTACCCCAGTTCTGGGCAGGCAGAGAGAACAGGATCCAGGAGCCTTGCTGGCTGGCCAGTCTAGCCCAGCAAGCTTCAGTTTCAGCGAGAGACCCTGTGTCCAAACAAGGTCAACGGATGTGATGGCTCTGGGCTAAAGGCATTTGCCGGGAGGCCTGATGCTCTGAATTCAATCCTTGGACCCTGTATGGCGGAAAGAGAGAATGAACCTCAACAAGTTGTCCTCTGCCCTCTACATATGCACTGTGTGATGGGTGTCATGACACATATGTCCGCACAAACAGACATACATGCACCAAAAATAAAAATGTGTTACTTAAAAGTAAGTAATAAAGGGGCTGGAGAGATGGCTCAGAGGTTAAGAGCACCGACTGCTCTTCCAGAGGTGCTGAGTTCAATTCCTGGCACCCACATGGTGGCTCACAGCCATCTATAATGAGATTTGGTGCCCTCTTCTGGCCTGCAAGGTTCCATGGAGGCAGAATGTTGTATACAAAATAAATAAATCTCAAAAAAAAAAAAAAGTGATAAGGTGCAGGCAACTTAAGAAAACACTCACTGTTGACTTCCGGACACCATTCTATACACACCGCACAGAAAATAAAGAATATAAAGTAGAAGCTGAGTCTGTAGGGCTGGAGAAAGGGCTAAATGCTTAAGAGTACTGGCTGCTCTTCCAGAGCCTGGGTTTGGTTCCCAACACCCACATGGTGGCTCACAGCATCCTGGAACCAGTTCCAGGAGATTCAGTGCCTCTTTTGGCCTCTGCAGGCAGCAGCATGCAAGTGGGCACAGAACGACATGCAGGGAACACCCCCCCACACACACAAACACACAGTCTTAAACTCTTGCTCTCCGACCCCATCCCAACTAGAAGTTGAGAGTGTGCTGCCTGTAATCACAGCACTAGGGAGGTGGAGGCAAGATGATCAGGAGTTCGAGGCCAGCCTGGGCTACACAGTAGTTGAAGGCCAAATCTGAGCTATATAAGACTGAGCCTCTTGCTTTAAAAAGTTAGAAGAGCTGGGCCATGGTGGCGCACGCCTCTAATCCCAGCACTCAGGGCAGAAGCAGGTGGATCTCTGAGTTCAAGGCCAGCCTGGTTTACAGAGTGAGTTCCAGGACAGCCAGGGCTACACAGAGAAGCCCTGTCTTGAAAAAACAAACAAATGGGGGATCTGTAGTTGGTATGTAAAATGAATAAAAAAAATTTAATTAAAAAAAGCAAATAAGGCCGGGTGGTGGTGGCGCACACCTTTGATCCCAGCACTGGGGAGGCAGAGCCAGGCGGATCTCTGTGAGTTTGAGGCCAACCTGGGCTACAAAGCGAGATCCAGTAAAGGCACAAAGCTACACAGAGAAACCCTGTCTTGAAAAACCAAAAACACAAAACAAATAACAAACAAAACAAAAAAGCCCACCTCTGAGCCATCCCTCCAGCTCCACCTCCCCTCCCCCTCCACCTGTTTGGAAACAGACCCCCTGTGGAACTCTAAGAATGCACTGCTGTGCTCCACATTTTTGCTTCAGGATTACCACACAGGCCCTTGTGCTTGCAAACCAACTCCCACTTCTAGGACAGTTCAGCTTCAGGATTTTGCTGTTTCCCTCCATCTGGAATTCTTTCCCATAGATACATTTTGGATTCCTTCCTAAATCTAGTCAGGTTTCTGCCCAAAATTCATCTAATTCATTCCTTTGTCCTTGCCAAATGGCAGATTAAGTACTGAAAATACACCAGAAGGCAAATGTCCCTGCATTTGGAGAGGACAGTCTCTGGAGGAGAGATTTAACAAAATACGATATCAAGTATCGAGAATGTGCTAGGAAGAAGCAAGACAAAGCCGGGTGGCGGTGGCGCACGCCTCTAATTCCAGCACTCGGGAGGCAGAGGCAGGCCGATCTCTGAGTTTGAGGCCAGCCTGGTCTACAGAGTGAGTTCCAGGACAGCCAGGGCTACACAGAGAAACCCTGTCTTGGAAAAACAAAACAAAAACAAACAAAAAAACAAAACAAAAAGCAAGGCAATAGCCTGGTGGGGTTGTAATTCCAGCTACCCTGAAGACCGAACAGGACTGCAAGTTCAAGGTCAGTCTAGGCAATTTAGTTCTAGTCTCAGAATAAAAAAATTTAAAAGGACTAAGGATGTAGCTTGTGGTTGAACATTTGTCTAGCAAGGGTAAGACTCTGGGATCAATCCTCAGGACCATAAAAAATAAACAAAACAAAGCAAAAGCATGATAAAAGGAAAACAAGGTTTTCAGGAAATGCTTTCCCCGTAAAAACAACTTAGATTTATTTTTGCAATTATTTTGCACACGCACACACATGTACATGTACATATATGCACACAGTTTAGCTCATGTAGAGACTGCTTCTCTCCTCTTACCATGAGAGTCCTGAAGATCCAACTCAGGCCTTTAGGCTCCACAGAAACTCCTTTGCTGGGTGAGCCATCTTGCCAGACCAATGCTGTTGGTTTTGTTTTTATTTTGTCTTGAGATTCGGTCTCACTATGCAGCCCTGGCTGCCCTCAAACTCACAGAGATCCACCTGCCTCTACCTGGATCCAGAGTGCTTGGATTTGAAGTGTGTATCATGTTAGCACCCGCCCCTAATGTTTGTGTTTTTTGAGACAAGACTTCACGATGTAGCCTTGGCTGGCCTGGAACTCCCTATGTGTAATAGACCAGGTTAGCTCCAAACTTTTGGCAATCCACCTCACCTGCCTTTAGTACTGGGACTACAGGAATGCGCCTGGCTCCTTGGTTGTTTTCTTTTTCTCTTTGTTGTTTCTTCCCGCCCCCATCATCATATTAATTACGGATAATTAGTTTTATAGAAATAAAGTGATCTCTCATGGCATTTTTATACATGCGTATAATGAATTTTTACTACATTCACTACCACTTTGCCCATTGTCTCCCATTCCTGTGGATTCCCTTCCCCTTCCCAGGTATTTGTGATTTCTTGGTGGTTCTTATTTCGGTGTTTTGGTGAACCAGTAAGTTTTATTGCGGTTGCTTCTAGGAGCACAGGCAACTTAATTGTGGTTATCCCAAGGAAGAAAACGTCTCTCCTTTCCCAGCAACCATTAGCCACCTAGAGGAGCTGGGCCTCGTAAGTACTTCTTTAAAAATCTTTTTTAGGGCTCGAGAGATGACTGAGAGGTTACGAGCATTAACTGTTCTTCTAGAGGTCCTGAGTTCAATTCCCAGCAACCATATCGTGGCTCACAACCATCAACAATTGAGATCTGGTGCCCTCTTCTGGCGTGCAGGCACACATGCAGGCAGAACACTATACATAATAAATTTAAAAAATCTAAAGAAACTTTTTTAGATTTGTTCTTGTACATCTAGTGTTTTGTCTGCATGTATATGAACCACGTACCGGTAGAGGTCACATGAGGGCGTCCGATCCCATGAAACTGGAGTTACATATGGTTATGAACCATGCGAACGCTAGGACCGGACGTGGGTCCTTTTAACAGCTGAGCTAACCCTTCAGCACCGCCCCCCCTTTTAAAGTGTATCCAAAGCCGGTTGAGACTCTTGCTTCATCCAGTTCTGTTACTGATTACCGACTATTATCCTTACGTCATTGTGCACACGTGTTTTCTCAGGCCCAAGCAGGAAGGAAAGAAAAGCGAAACGGAAAAAAAAGAAAAAGGAACAGTCTGGTTGCGGCTGAGCTCAGAGAAGGAAACACCAGCCCAGGACCGCCTCTCCTGGGTTTACTCCTGAGTTCCTACCAGAGTTGGAACTCGGGACCGTAAAATACTTACCGAGGCGCAGCCAATCATTAGCGCCGAGGGGGGCGTGGCTGGTCTTTGAAGAACACCAATCAGCGTACAGTTAGGCGGAAGCGAGACAGCATCAACCAATGGGAGAGGCCGTACGGCGGAAGCGCCTCAAGGAACTTTCGGGAAGATGGCGACCTTAGCCCGGAGACAAGTTGACTGGAGGAAACTTTGACGGCAAGGTGATTACCGTAGTACGAGCGGCCATTCAGAGGCGGAAGGCCGGAGACGGCACAGGCCGGGCTTAAGGGACGGGGTCGGAGACACAGCCCGGCGGCCTGGAGATCCGGAGGACTCAAGGGGACCGAGGCCGTCAGCGGACGGGAGCGGGCGCACCCGGAAGGGGCGGGGCTTACTGCTCCGTACCAGAAGACCCGGATTGGGAAGCGACTGGGCGGGCCAGATGTTTAGCCGAGTGGGCGTGGCCATTGCAGTGCGGCTTGGAGGCGGGGCCGATAGGAACCTGGGGCCCAGCTGGACGGGGCGAGGGTTTGGGAACCCGGGCCTGGGGCTGTGGGATCCACTCCTGGCGGGGTACCGAGGCCGCGGTGACCTCAGGCCGAGCTCTGCCGCGATCTCACCCGGCCCTCTTCTCGTCCCCCGCGCCACTCGCCCTAGACTCCAAGGCCCTCTCATCCTTCTGAGCTCTGCCCTCGGATGTCCGACCGCCCAGAGCCTGCATGCGCCGTGGGGCGCCCCAGGACCAGGAGCTGGTGGGTCCGGGGGCCCCTGGGCGGGGGCCCCGGGGCTCCGCTCCTTCCTCAGGACCCGTTGTCCCGGTGCTCGTCTTCCCCCCGGATCTAGTATTCAGGGCGGACCAAAGGAGTGGACCCCGGCAGCTGCTGACCCTCTACAACCCCACGGGAACCGCGCTTCGCTTCCGAGGTGAAGAGATGGGCGAGGCCTCGAGCGAGGGCTCTGGAGATCGGTAGCAGGCTGTGGAAGGATTATGTGGGCTGGAGGAATTAGTTAAGGGGCAAGGTGACCAGCTTTGGGTCTGAAAAAGTCATGTCCATCTCTGGGGTGGTGACCCACCGTGAGCAAAACCTGCCTAAGGTCTCTTTGTGTGTGTTTATCCCACAGTTCTGTGTACAGCACCTGCCAAATACACGGTATTCGATGCAGAAGGATATGTGAAGCCACAGTCTTGCATTGACATGTGAGTGGGGAGGGCAGGAAAGCAGCCTTTGGTCTCCGACCTTTTCACCCTCTGGCTGCAGGCACTCTGGGAAGAGTTTCTGGGGAGGAGATCTGGTGGGTTGCTTCTCACTTCCTTCCTCCCGATGGGTCAGTGTGATACGGCACGTGGCCCCCATCCCCAGCCACTATGATGTCCAGGACCGATTCCGAATTGAGCTATCTGAGGAGGGGGCTGAGGGACGTGTGGTTGGACGGAAAGACATCACCTCTGTTCTTCGGGCCCCAGCGTACCCCCTGGAGCTTCAGGGACACTCTGAGCCAACACCCAGCCCAGGGCCTCCTGTGTGGACAGGACCAACCCCAGCCAGACGCCTTCAGGAGAGTGAGTTGAAACGGATTCTTTGTGTGTGTGGTGTTGTGTGTGTGTGTATTATGTGAGTATGTGCGTGTGGGTTCTTGTGCACATGTGTATGTGTGCATTTGTGGAGGCCAAAAGTTGACTTTCTTCAGTCTCTCTCCACCTTCATTTTTTGAGACCGAGTCTCTCCCTGAACCTAAAGCACATTCATTTGGCTAGGCTTGATGGCCAGTTAACTTCAGAATACAGTATCCACCTGTCTCCACCACCCAGGTGTTCCAGTGGGTGCTGGGGGTCTGAACTGGGGTCCTCATGCTTACACTGTGGGCCCTTGACTGACTCAGTTGTCCATCCACGGTGCTTGTTTTTCTGCAGCACTGGGGGATCGCCTCGTCCCTAAGGCATACCACGCAAGCGCTCTACTACTGAGCAGTCTCCCCAGCCCTGCAGGAGGGACTCCTGAATTGTTTTTTTCCTGTAGGGAAAGAAGTAGCATTACCCTAGAAATGAACTAAATGGTGTTTGAAGAAGTCTCTGGGTCCAGGTGTGGGTGTGGGTGTGTGGGTGTAGGTGTGGGTGGAGATGTCCCCAGTTGAAGTTTTCTGTCAGGTGAGAGAAGACTTTTTGCAGTTGTCCTGGTTTCCACCTTCTAATCAGAGGGACAGGTTCCTCTCGGGCTCCAACTGTTATCAGGTGCCAGCTACGTTCAGTTCAGTAAGAAACCTGTACTGAGCGGTCATGCTCTTGTGTGCTGGGTATGGGAGATATAGAGGTCCCTGCCTGTCAGCCCAGGACACTGAGAACACAGTAGAGAAGACAGGAGGAAGGGGGGAGGGGACGACCAAAGGACAGCGAGTTTCTGTGGCTTCAGAACAGAAGCTCCAAGGAGGAGAGGATACTCCCAGGATACCCTTGGAGGGCAATAAACTGTAAACACAAAGGCCAGCATGATGGCCCCAGCCTGGGGTACCACCTCTTGGGGGACTACAAGGAAGGAAAGAGGAGGATTTCAGGTTCCAAGGCGGCCCGGGCTATATAGTAAGGATTTGAAAAACGGGGGAGTGTTGGGGAGATAGTTCAGTTGGTCAAGTGTTTGCCACGTAAGAACGAGGACCTGAGTTCAGTCCCCAGCACCCGTGACATGGTAGCATTGTGCTTGGAACTCCAGGTCTGAGGAGGCAGAGACAGGCAGATCCTTGGGGCTGGCTACTCAGTCAGCCAGTCTAACAGACAAGTCCATCCCATTGAGACAAGCTGGATGGTTCCTGAGGAACCACACTGGAGGCTGACTTCTGGCCTCTGTGCATAACACACACGTGTATGTGTATCCACCCACTCACATCAATACACACTTAAGAAAGATAACCAAGGCCGGATATGGTATTGCACACACCTGTAATCCTAGCACTTGGGAGGTAGAGGCAGGAGGATCAGAAGTTCAAGACCATCCTTGGCTACCTAATGAGTCTGAGGCCGTCCTGGACGACATACATGGAGTCCCCGTCTCAGAATTAATAAGCAGTATATGAATAAACTCCAAACAGAGTGGTTGCGTCTCCCTTGTTCATCCTGATCCCCGGCAGACCTTGGGCGGCCAGCGCTCTCGTCCCTCTTTTGCAGATGCCCCCCAGCAGCTGGCCACCAGCTCCTTCCTGCTCTTCCTGCTGACAGGCGTCATCTCTGTGGCCTTCCTGCTGCTGCCGCTGCAGGACGACCTGGGCAGCCAGCTGCCTCAAGTCCTGCACGTGACCCTGGGACAGAAGCTGGTGGCCGCTTACGTCTTAGGTGAGCACAGAAGGGGAGCACCTGGGCCTCCTTCCAGAGAAGGACGGGAGGAGACTCCAGCGTGGACTCTCTCTCTCTCTCTCTCTCTCTCTCTCTTCCCACCCTCAGGCCTCCTCACCATGGTGTTCCTCCGGACCTGAAGCCACCCCGCCCTTGAAGGCAGGGACCTGAGGCGGCCACTGTGATGTTTGCATCCTGCCTCTTCTCCCTCTTTTTGCCCCCCCATCAGTTACCATCCTGCCCCTCCCCACCGAAAACCCAGGGATTTATACTCATTTTCCAAGTTGAATAAAATAAGTTTTAAAAATCCAAATGTAGTATGCTTGTCCCTGGCTTCTCACCCTTTATTTCCTTTATTTGTTTGTTTGTTTGTTTGTTTGTTTGTTTTTTAATGCGCGCGTGTGTGCGCGCGCGCAACCCCCACCCCCTGCACCAGTGCATGAGGCCAGAAGTCTCTACCTCAGGTGTCTTCAAGCATGCGCACAGGCAAGCACTGAGATCAAAAGACAGCTTTCAGAGTTTGTTCTCTCTTCTACCACGTGGATTCCAGGCATTGAACTCAGGTCATCAGAACTGGTGGCAAGTGCCTTTACCCAAAAACTATTTCTTTTGCCGGCCCCTATACCTTATTTTTTTGAGGCAAGGGCTCTCCCTGAGCCTAGAGCTCAGTGGTTTACTAGGTTCCCTGACCAGTGAGCTCCAGGGTCTCCACCTCCCCCACACCGAGGTGACACTCACGCAGCTGCGCTGTTGGCTATGAACTTGACAGGCGTTAGCATCACCTGGGAGGTGGTCTGCTGGGCGTCAGGAGATTCTCCTGATAGGTTAATTGTGGTGGGAATCCCCACCCTGTATGTGGGATGCAGATTGCATGGGTTTGGTCCTGGAATGAATGCATGGGGAGGAGAGCGGGAACTGAGCACCGCGTTCATTACGTCCTCTGACAACAGAGGTGGTGTGGCCAGCCAAGCTGCTCTCACTTCCTTACCGACCACGATGGACCCTCCGTGAACTGTGAGCGAAACAAACCCAGTCTTCCTTCAGTGGCTTTGGTTGGGGTGCGTTGCCACAGCAACAGGAAAGAAACATGGGTGCTGGGGATCCGAACTCAGGAACTCATGCTGCAAGGCAGGCACAGCAGTGACTGGTCCTTCTCCCCGGCCCTCCCTACACTTCTTTTTAAAACCATTTTTTTTTCATTATGTTTTTTTGACACAGGGTTTCTCTGTGTAGCTTTGGCTATCCTGGAACTTGTTCTGTAGACCAGGCTGGCCTCTACCTCCCAAGTGTGAGGATTAAAGGTGTGTGCTCCTATTGCCCGTAAAAATCATTTTTAATTTTTTAAAAAGTAATTGATTATTTATTTATTATTTTATGAACATGGGTGTTTTGCCCGCATGTATATCTGTGTGAGGGTGTCGGATCCCCTGAAACAGAAATTACATAAGGTTGTGAGTTGCCATGTGGGTGCTGGGAATTGAACCCAGGACCTCTGGAAGAGCAGTCAGTGCTCTTAACCGCTGAGCCATCTCTCCGGCCCCATTTTTAATTTTTCACTAGGGATTTCTTCTTCTGTGTATGAATGTTTTTGCTTACATGTATGTAGATGTACTACATACGTGCCTAGCACCTTGCAGAGGTCAGAGAGGATGTCAGATTCCCTGGAACTGGAGTTACAGAAGGTCGAGAACTATCATGTGGGTGCTGGGCACCAAACCTGGGTCCTCTGGAAGAGCAACCAGTGCTCTTAACCACTGAGCCACTGGCCTCCTGTGCCACCACCCCACCCCTCCTCCTGATACCCAGACAGCCTCTTGTTCTTCCCACTCCCATTCCCGGGGACCCAGGGAAGTCAAAGGCCAGCTTGGGCAAATTAGTAAGATCATGTCTCAAAATAAAAAGCAAAATGAGAGCTGGGCTCGTCGGTGTGGTAGGTAGCACAGGCAGGGCAGGTAGAGCTTTGTGAATTTGGGGCCAGCCTGGTCTACATAGTTTCAGACCAGTCAAGGCTACTTAGTGAGACCTGGTCTCAAAAACTCCACAGACAAAGCAACAGAAACAAAAAGAGGCTTAGGCTGTGGCTCAAGAGTAGAGCCCTTGTCTAGTGTGGTGAGTCCCTGGGTTCAGTTCCCAGTGTGGAAGAAAAAAGACACCCCTCCCAATACACACACACACACACACACACACACACACACGCACGCACGCACGCACGCACGCACGCGCACGCACACACACACACATGCACACACACACATG